GGAAAAATTCAATCCCTGTTTAGGAGCCCAAATGCCAGACTGGGGTTGCCATTTGTGTCACTTGCCAAATCCTGCTGGTTTTCCTTAACAAACAGAACAATTAAGAATCCTAAAGAATAAGGTATTGGACCAGATTCTTTTTTTTATTCAAACATTATAATTTGATGTTTATGCTGTCTGTACAGCAGAAGCAATCCTGACAATTTACACTTTGTATTATTTGCCTACATGTTTTTAATTAAGTGATTTCAGTATAATCAGGCTTTGCAAATGACTGTTAGCAGAAGACATGGTGAACATAAAATAGAATAATTGACAGTTGGAATGCAAAAATGTACACTAAGCAATTGTGGCTTATCCTGGCCACACAAAGTTTTAATGGAATAATTATGATAGAAAAGATTGGTCTGAAAGACAAACCTGCAGCAATTATTGTAGGTAAATACATATATGAAAGACCTGACATTCCACTTTTGCTGTTATCTACCTGCTTGTTTGGAAGAAAGCTATCCTCACTTTTTTAGTTTAAATGAAAAAGTAAGATATTTTTGTTATTTGCCCCTGCAAGCATTAGTAAAAAGTTAGAAAGGAGCATTCAGCTCATCAGTGTTCAGAGTACACTGCTGCAGGCATGCAGTTTAGCCCTGCAACCTTATCTGAGTATCAATATCTTGGCTGCAGTTTATTTCCATGAAAACCCTTCCCCACATGACTAGTAAGGCGATAAGAATGCTGCTTAGGGGGATGCACTGACCAGGATGACTGAGTATCCTACTTTACTGCTCTTCAGGAAATTGTTAGTTATCTCACAAAGGGATAGATGACTTCAAAACTTTAGACTGAATTTAATTTTAAATGTGGATCCTGACATTCGTCAGGTTGCAGGTAACAGCTGAATTTCTTCCTGGGCCAGGAATGAATGCTCAAATCTGTATTTAATAAGTCTGGCCAGTACTCAACCTCCCATTGGCAGGAACTGAGAGAAGCAGTTGTTCCTGGGTAGGAATGCAGAGACTCTAAGGATACCATTTCTAACTGTAAGAAAATTTAACCAGGTGCAATTATCTATTTTTATAAAGAGAAAGCAATTGGTAACACTTTCAGTTCTGTATGTTAACTAAGTAATATAATGAAGTGGGTTTTGCAGTATTTTAGTTTTCATGTCACTGTCCCCATCTGGTAGCTGATAAATGAGCTGACGCATTGAGCCTGAAATTCAGATTCCTGTGTCTGACTTGGAACATGTAAGGATCATGGCTGAAACTGCAGTTTGCCTTGGAACATTCACTGCTGTGAAGACACTTTGGGAAGTGAGAATACACAAGATAAATGAAGAATTGCAGAAAGAAAAGGAGTTCAGGCAGAGGTCTGCAGGAAGGTAGGTAAATTGTAGCTCTTAGAGTATGTGAAAAGCTAGACCACGTGTTACATTTCAGAAGACTGTAATTGGTCTTTTCAAACTCATCCAGACTCCAGTTCTTTAGTTGTTACTCCAGCAGAATTCCCAGTGGTTAGAATCTGGCAATATGGTCAGGTCAAACCAAGCTTTGTCTGTGCTAAAAATATTAGCATATAGGCTAAATCCTCTAAATTCAGATACTAAAATCCTCTCCTGTGTGGATATTCTCACCAGTGGAGACTTAATTTGTTAGGCTTTCTTCTCAACAGAGGCACTAACAGGGTTGCTTGATCTTCTCCCTGGCCAGCAATTTAATGAAATCTGAAGAAATTTAGCATTCTATTTTTTGAACTCTTCTGAATTTATCAGCTATGTTCGAAATGGAATAACAAAATCAAAAGTTGCTAATGGAAAATGTTTCAGTCCTCTTTGGAAATCAAGCTAAAAGAGTCCCTAGCTGATTGACCTTGTTTGGTTGCACTTACACTTGGTGGAATGGAAGGCTTTCTTTTCAAGAGACTCCTTCAAAATTAAGGCTTTGGAACTTAATTCCACATGGCTTTATATTCTGCTGCCCTGCTGCAACATGTTGAAAGTGAATTAAGTTATGTTCTCCTTCTGAATGTAGATGTGAAGAACTGTAAAATAGAATTCCTATAAATTACATCAGCCAAACACAATGTTTTTGTCTTCCCTCACATTGATAGCATATTTAGCATCCAGATATAATAAATGTTGTTTGACATCCAGAAAGGCTACTACTGCCCCTTTGTTCCTGAAATTTGGCAGGATAGTGATTCCATCTGTATTCACCACTGACAGATCTTCTTTCCCTCGTAGGCTACTGCTTGTCTGGGAGGAGAGAGCTGCTTTAGCAAAGCTCAAAGAAAAAGTTATTAATGAAGGTGGAAGAGCAATTTTAAGGATAGAGGAAGAAGAATGGAAGGTTGTGTTGATAGGAATGAATGTTGCTTGGGTTGAGTGACTGATGCATTAGAAAACTACTATTTACAACTTTACACTAACAGTTGTACTATTTTTGTTCTAGTAAGTGCTCACTGTGTGCTTTGCTAACAGTGAATTGGGACACACTGTTGTGAGAGTATAAAAGCAAGCTGGTTTTTAGTCCTGAATATTACTCTGCAAAAATATAGCCCAAAAGGTTTTCTGCATTAGAAATTATTTACACTGTGAATTATGAGTTCAATTATGTCAATCCTCATTGAACATTAACACACCAGATCTACTGAAATTTATCAAAGTGAAAACCCTCTCTCTGGGTTTAGGTGCATGAAAATATTTCTTACTGTTGTTTACTTGATCTTTCTAAGAGTGAAAATGAGCCAGTAGATTCCCAGAATGCTATAATAGTTTGTGATGCACTGGGGATAAGCTGCTGTTAACCAATGCCAGAGTGGACACTAACAGTGCTCTGAGCCACACAGAAATGCAGATACCAGTTCCTATGAAGGGATGAGAACTAGACCATGTTGAGGTCCCTGAGCGACAGCCAGGCCCAGCAATACCCTGATGGTCTGTAGGTCAGTGTTCCTTGTTCAGAACTCTTAACATCCAGATATGATAGCTTTTCTATCCCTCTGCTCTTCTACTCTCAGCTGCTCCCTGTTTTTCTTAACAAAATAGGAAATAGAATTTACATCTCCATTTATGTACTATTTAGAGCAGTTTCATCTTCAGTTATATTGACTTTGTTTAAAAAAAATCCAAACAAATGCAAGCCTGGAACTTGCCCAGCAGTGACAGTAGTACAGGTATCTAAATCCTGGGAGCAAAAAGTGGGCAGGTTGAATCCATGACTTGAATGACAAGCCATATTGATGCTCACTTCAGGATGTTACTCTTAGCTTAAGAAGAAGGAAGGACTGTTAGTGTTTCAAATAAAACTTCTACCTCAGCCTCATTCCTCTTGTATACTAATATGAATTTCTTCTGGTTCCTGCTTCTTGTCTTAGACACTACCTTCATGCTTACTGAAACTAGGCCATCTCCAGGAATGGCAGCTCCACAGAACTAGTTTGCTGAAAATCCCTCAGTTCATTGGAAGATTTCACAATCTTCTTGTTCTGGATCTATCCCGGAACTCAATTGAAAGTTTACCTAAAGAAATTGGTGAGTTGTGCTTTATTTTACTGCAAGCTGCTTTTCCAAGGAAATTGGTCTTGCAGAAATGTGTCACTTTTTTTTACCTTTTGCCTAACAATCTTACTGGGTAGTTAGAAAACATGATGTAAATCTGACAATGAGAGATCTCAAACCCATGGGTTCCTTATAAACTAAAAAAAAAATGGCTGGATGGAAGAGACACATCTTCAAGAAAGTGCCCTGTGACAGAAGACAGCCTGTAAGCACAGCAGAGACTGGACATCAGAATGCAGCTAGAAAAGTAATAGTAAAAAACAGACTTAATGTTCTGAGTCCACAGCATGAGTAGCCTATTCATAATTTCTTGGGTTTGGGGTTTTTCTTGCAGCACTCAACTAGAGTGCAATTCTGGATTGAAGTCCTACTGTTTGCATTGCAGTGAATTAGTTTTTTATATTTGTGAGAACAGATAGCATTTGTATAACAGTAAAAGGATAAGACATAATGTAATATTGGACTTCAAATAAAACTGAAGGTGAACCTTTCTCATTCCATTTGTGCTCTCTGCAGGCCAGCTGACCAGCCTCCAAGAGCTGCTGCTCAGTTACAATAGAATAAAGTCTGTCCCTAAGGAAATATGTAACTGCATCAGTCTGGAAAGACTGGAACTGGCTGTCAACAGGAGTATCTGTGATCTTCCTTCCCAGGTTTTGACACGCTGTTTAGTTTTGTTTCATGCATATTTTGAATTTATACCAAATCAATTATCATTGAACACTGCACTCCATGTTTCCAGATTTGCTTTGATACTCTGAATTCACAGCTACTCCACAGAAACACTGATGTGAACAATCTTTATATGATCAGTCAAACTCAGGCCATGTGAGGACATGTGAGGCTTGGGGTGTATCTGCACTGTGGTCATGGCTTTCAGCTTCTCAGCAGTTAGGGCACAGGGTGGGAGGTAAAGTTCTTCTGCCTGACCAGTTTCAAACCTACCAGGTGAAAACTGCACTTCTTAGGTAATATCAGCTGATGTAACTCAGAAACCATTCTGTGTTTACTAGCTCCAAAATGTGTTGTAATGTTTTGAAATGTGTTTTTCAGTCAATTAGTAGAGCTCTGCTGTAATGCTGCAACAGCTACACAAACTTGTATTAAATCTGCCCTTCTTTTCAGCTCAGTGATTTAAAGAAGCTTTCACACATAGATTTGTGCATGAATCAGTTTACCACCATCCCTTCAGCTCTTCTCAACATGCCAAATCTAGAGTGGTTAGATATGGGGGGAAATAAACTCCAGGAGCTTCCTGATGCAATTGACAGGTAAATAAAGCTTAAAGCTCATCTTAGTCTTAATTCCATTGCATTGAAATTCTAATTATTAAATATGACTTCGAAAGATAATTTTTGTGTTAACCTCACTGCAAAGTTCAGATTTTGTCAGCTCTAATGTGATGGTTTGGATGAGCTGGAATAATCCATTCCATAAACAATAAATTCAGTATCAACTATTGAGTTAAATATTTTTGGCCAATGACATTTTCAAACTTAAGAGATTAGGTGATGGTCTTGGACATGGTGTTTCATTTCAGACTTGTTGTGTTCTTTATGAGAGTCCTTTATGTGGCTGAAAAATGAATCAATTACTTTGTAGTAATGATTGATCAGATTAATTTTATAAATCTTGATGGATTGCACAAATACCTATTTTTCAGAATGGAAAAACTCCACACTTTATGGCTTCAAAGGAATGAGATAAACTCTTTGCCAGAAACCATTGGTAATATGAAAAATCTTAGTACTCTTGTTCTTAGCAACAACAAGCTCAAGGATATTCCAACTTGTATGAAGGACATGACAAATCTGAGGTAAGAAAAAGGAACATAAACATAAAAAGAAATACTGGAAGACAGGTTTTAAAGCCTCCTTTTAGTTGTATGTCACAGAGTGATACAAGGGAAATGGCTGGATAAGTACTATAAGGCATCTTCTTGGCTTAGTTTACTTAGTACTATAATAGAGTGCTGAGTTTAGTGTAAGAAAAGTCTTATTTTGCTCAAAGTATTGCTTGAGAAATCTTAACAATTATTTTGAAACTGAATTGTCTCTGGTTAAAACTTATTGCAAGAGTAACCTTTTCCGGTGAATTGTCAGATTTGTCAACTTCAGAGACAACCCACTGGAGCTAGAGGTAACACTCCCTCCCTGTGAGAATACTGAAGAGGAGGAGCAACAGGAAATGTTTGGCATTGAGTTCATGCACATGTATATCCAAGAGTCACTCAAGAAAACAGGTATGGCTTTTTATTAATTCTGCTCTTTCTGGAATACAGTGAGGAAGGGAAGGGCAAACTGGATAACCAAAATCTAGGACACATATACAAACATGACTAGTCTTCTTAATAAATCAGTAACATTTAAAAAAAACCCTGTAAACAGACTTTCCTGAGGGCAGGGGCACTTCATCAGGGGTTGGCACTGTAGGTCTTCACATGAACAGCATATATTCTGGTAGGAAGGTACTAGAACCATGGAACATTGGAACATTGGAATAACTGTGCCTGAGTAATCTACAGCCTGGATAACTGGAAGCTGATGACTGTCTTTTGTATTTGCAATTTAATCAGTTGACATAATAGGTCTTCCAGCAACGCTGATCTCAGGAAGCTGAACTTTCCCTGTTTTTGGTGGTTGTCCAGATGGGACTCCCAAAGAAGGATTAGGGGAGAGATGCCTATGTTCCCAACATACAACATCTTTTAGCAATGAAGTATCAACACCCCATAAACAGGTGTTTCTCACAACCTGCTTTCCCTGACACAAAATCCAGTCACCTAAACAAAACACCCTCACAGGTTCATCCCATTTCTAAAACACCCTGACAAAAATTTGCTGTTTGTAGTCTCAAACAGCTTAAATGTTGGAGTACAAGACCAAAATAAGCACTTCTGAACAGATGTGCAGGTGGCAGCTGTTACTTGCAGAGAGCACTTCATTGCACATATAAAATGTTCATTCTGTATTTTGTGAAGTGTTAAAAAATGAATGGTTTAAATGCTCTTGATTTAGAACAATGCATCAGCTTTCTTCTTATCAGTACTTCATGAATGAGTAATCAAATTAGCAAAAATGTATCAAGATGACAGTTTACAAGTAAGTTTTCTTCCTCAATAGATTCCCCTAGCAGCACAGGCTGATAAAAGTACCTAGGCCTACTTAAGTAATTTAAGAGGAAATACAAAGCTAAGCTGAACTTTAAAGTGAAAATAAAGTATGTTAATTTCTCATATTTTAACTTGTTGTCTTTCAGAAAATCAGGAAAGTTGTACTTCTGATCCTTCTTCTCCTAATGCAAATCCTAATGAATAAAGAATGTAACTGTGAATGGAAGAGAATATCAAGCATACTTCTTCCCAGCAAAGAGGCATACAACAGGTTTCAAATATTCTTAGGGATTTTATTTTTCCACTGAGAACTGGTTTGCATATTGGTAATTCCCAGTGAAACTGGGAAATATAACATCTTTTCCTGGGTACAGGAGAGAGTAAATTTTTTTTTTAGGCACTGAATTAGCTTTTTAAAAATATCCAGATAAGTTTTATAGTTTTTTTTTTTTTTTTTCCCCTACCAATTCCAAATCTATCTCCTGTCATGTAGTTGGCTCTGGTATCAGAGATGGTCTGGGGACAGCTGTCAACAGGACATTCTCTAAGGATACAGCAGACTCTGTGTAATACTGTAGTGCAGCCTTGTACCCCTGTTGTTGCAAATACTCAATCCGTCCGTGATCAATCAGCCGTTTACAGAGGCAACCGATCTCCTTCCGCTCCTCAGCAGTGAGTATCCTACTTGCACAAAAAGGAGGAAAAAATGAACAACGTGTGTCAGAAGAATAGTTTTGTCAATTAACATTAGTAGCTGAGCTTAGAAGAGCTACTGAAATCACTAAGTTCATTTCAGTCAGGCAAATCACGACTGTTTGAATACTTTGAAATGTCCATGAAAATTGTATTTTCAAAGTAAACTATTTCTGCAAGTGCAGTAATTACAATGTTTCTGCAGAATGAGTCCTTTCGAGGACTCAAAACAATTTCCTGTGCCACTAACACATAATTTTGCTCTCTGCTGGAGTCCATTGCTACCCAAAAAAATTACCTACCCTTGTAAAGTATCAGAGCCACTCTCTGTCTTGCTGAATGTTTGCTCATGTTCATCCACATCATTAGTTTGATCTTCACCTTCTTCACTCAGAGAAGCTTTGCTCGTGGTTTCTCGCATGCCGCAAGTGGCCCAACTACTCATTCTCTGAAAACAATTAAACTCTGCTGGTCCCAGTCCTACTGATTTAAAGAACTCTCTGCCTACATAATGTGTCCAGTCACACTTGTGATGGCAACACAGAGCAATAACAATTCCAGCTACAGGCTTACAGTCTTCTGTGTTGCTTTCACTGGCAGCAGAAGTAACAGGAGCCACCTCTGTTTCAGCAGTCCTAGCACGTTTTGGTGCAGGCTCTTCACCTTCTCCATCACAGCAAGTTGTGTAACTTTCAACCAGGCATCTCAAAGCAAGATCTGGGAATGAACAGACACACAAATGTAGAATACATATCTGTTCTATGCAAGCATATTTGAGATACTTAGGTTAACAAACTGGCATAGGGTGATCTCCCCCCTGTAAAACATGCAAGTGTTGGCTCTAAAGGTTGACATCTAGGACACAGTCTATTTAATATGCACATGTACTTCTCAAATGCTGAACTGCATCATCAGTACCTATAAAGGTATCTTATTTGAGATGTCTCTCTCTACACAGTAGACATGTAACATTAGAAAAGGTGCATTCATTTAACATTATTAGGACGGAAACACATTCTTATTTATTTGGGATACACACTCAGACAGCCAATACAAATTTAGAAAGAAAAATATCTCAGAGAAGAGGCAACAGTGCTAAAAAAGTACTGTTGCCAGTTTACAAATACATGGCCCATGCTATCACACACTTTTCTTTGTTCTACCCTATAAAACCCAGAAAGGCTTTACTCCTGTTCAGAGCCCCCTTGCATCAATCATCCTTCTACTGTTCCACTGGAGTCAATAGATATTTAGAATGTAAGTGCTACATTCACCAACAAAGGGTTAGAGAGCAAGAAAAGCTTAAAAGGACAGTTTAGAGGATCAGTCCATTCAGTGTAAGATTTAGTATCCTAACACTCTGCAGTTCACACATCTGTAAGTCATACCTGTCGCAGCACCACACAAATGCTTCCCAATTCCTACCACTGGAAGTTTTTTCTTCTTCAAAATAGGTACCTTATCTGGAGGGAGGAAAACAAACAAACAACAAAACCCCCACACAATCCACAATAACCTCAGCACCTCTATTATTATAGTTGGGGCAACATTTTTGCTGAATAACATTGTTTCAGCACAGTTAGAAATAAATGTTTATCACTACTAAAAATACAGTGGTCCCCACATACAGTTATGAACTATTCAAAGGGAAGCTTCTTTCAGTAAAACAAATTAAAGGAATGGGATGGTGTGGCTGGGAAGCACATTTAACCATTTCAGCCTTTCTAGACCACCTATGAAAGGTAAATATGACACAGGTTCTATAGCCCTGTGGAACTTACTTAAACATAAGTGCTGAATATCCACTTGAAGCCTCTCAAAGACAGAATCTCTCCTTTTATGTTTTCCATCCACCTGTTTAAACAGAACAAGATCATTAAGTAGGGCTGAGCACTAATAATTACAGTTTTGCTCTGGGTATTAGTGCCAGGCTGTTTCCTGTCACGTCAACATCTGCAAATTTCCAACACTAAACACCAGGATCTTTTTTGCTAATAAATTTGCTATTGGCAAAGTATGAAATGTGGAACTTGTAAAATTTAAATGTATTGAAGATAAAAAGCAAATACTAAGTTCCAATGGCAACAGTTAAAAAATTATACTGGTCTAATGTGACAATATCCTCTCACCTTGAATCGTGTGGTTGCCCTTTCCACAAGCAAAAACTGAACACTTTCAACATTCTGTAAGGCAACATCAACCCAGTGAGACAACTTTCCTCGCCCAGCTCCAAACTCAACAAAACATCTTCCTGGGCCAAGTAAATGCAGTTTTTCCAAATTACCTAAAATAGAAGCCTACAAACATCAAAGGATTATTTGTGAACCAAGAAAATATATATACTATGCATTGTAATGCCTTATAGAAAAATTATTCATTCACCAAACTGCAGAAGACTTTTTCAAGTCTTCCTTTCCAAGAGGGATTAGGAAAAGATCTTGAGTGTACAGAGGAAAGGGATTATATATTCTGGCTAGCCAGCAGCACCCTGCCCTTGTTCTACTGCTCACAGAACTCAGTCAGAAGTTTATGGAATGGATTTTTGTGTTCAGGGACATGTTATAATATTCTTCTCACTGATTCTCAAAGAAGCCATCCAAAATATGGGTACTGGACTGGATTTTCTGTAAAGCATCAATGCCTGCAGAGCTCTCTCTCTCTGAACTGCAGTTATGGCATTTGCAACACATAGGAAAGGAAACTGGAGCACAGGAAAAAAGTACAGGAAACAGACATTTCTCCCTGTTAAACTTTATTCCCAGAACTTCCTATTTTACTACACTATACAATCCTTATCCCTTAAAATTTCTACTGTTTAATATACATTAAAAAGGCAGAAGATAAACTCAGGCTTTCCAATTCTTTCTGTGCATGTTACACACTTTACCTTTTGTAGCACAGATTAATTATGAATTAATATAAAATAAGAAAATATAAGCAATAATTGAGACCACCACACAATGTAAAATCCATTTCAGTATCCTAATAAACTTGTTATTAACACTTAATAAATCAACCATTCAAAGACTGTATATATGCTATTACTGGAAGAGCAGAGAGTTACAGAGCACATCAGACTTGCTCTGCAGGAAGCAACAAGCATCATGCACACACAGTCACTAACTTAGAGCAGCACAATTCCACATTAAACCCATCCACAGCTATTAGTACATCAGTGACCATACCTGCTGTTTCAAGTGTTTGAAAGCAGATTCCCCATTCTTTGGGTCATTTAAGGCTTCTTGTAACGCCTGGTGGGACAGTATTTGTTCCTCAAGGTGAAGTTCCAGGCCTACATGCAAATGCAAAACTTTTAGGTATAGCTTTCCAGGTTCCAAGAGTTCCTGGTTTGTAGCACATGTTACAATATTGACATGAGCTCAATTTGTAGCACTAACAAAACAGTGTGTTGAGAGCATAAATCCATTGTCACATGTTTGTAACAGAGTTGTATTGTTATCTGTAGTGATATTTGAATGGGGAGCAAAAAACAGAAAGGGAAAAACAATGAGCTATATGAACAAAAGATGGGAGTTCTATCATTCAATCTAATCGATTTTCTGGAGTAAGATTCAGCTATTGGAGGTCTGCCTAACACTTCAGATGTGTTCAATGCCATATGTTTCACATTTTACAGGTATCTAACAACAAAAATACCATTTTTAAATGAATGAAATATTTAATCAATTCAATTTAAACCATCTCATTTTTAGTATTGAGTAAGCTCACCATTACTTGCTTTTTTCAGCTTGGTAATCAAGTTGCCCAGCTCCTCCATGGATAGAGAAGATAGAGGGACCTTTTTAATGAAAAAAAAAAGCCACCTCTAACTACAAGACCTTTTGTTTTTCTAGCTCTTTAGTCACATGATAAATTGCAACAGGTTATGTAGACTCAACTTATGGACAAATAAAGGTACTCACTTGTTTTTCTGGTATTTCTGCTACATCTTTTAAACCTGCATTAATATCTTGAACGAAGTAGACCTTTAAAAAGTCAAAAGAAGATAAATCTGATTCTGTTAATTACCAGGAAGCAAATAGCTAAGTTGTTCAGCATTTTTGTCCTAAGGTAGGTAGCAATAGGAAACCACTGCAGAGTAAGATTTTCTGAGTAATTTTTGTTCCTACAGTCTGATCCTGAATCCCTGACAGAAATGACTGTTGTGACACGTTTGACAAGAATGAACACATTTGTAAGAGTTAAGCAGTCAGAGCTTACTGGACTGATTCTGGAGCCCATTCTAAGGCTTCCCAAGTAATACCAGAGGTGCAACACTAAAAACACATAAAGAGGCAATAAAGCTTCTTCTTCTGTTTTCTTGGAACTGTTGTTTAAACACATATCCTATTCCTGCAACTGTCAGCCTGGGTGAAGCAGGTAAGGAGGTAGCTGGCTAAAAGCACCTCGAGCCTCCCTGCTGGTTTCGCTTTCTGAGGACAATCTCTCACCCAGGCTCTGAAATGAAAGGCACTGTGAGAGGCTGTTCTCAGGGAGCCTTTTTGAGAAAAA